CTCGTTAAATATATGCATGATGATGTGGATGCATGTGTGATGGATATGTGTGTGATTGCTATATAAATTGCATTGTGTTGCTCACGCTATGTTTCTTATTGCAGGGAATGTCTAGAGAGTTGCGGGTGTTTTTAGCGAAACGTTGATTCGTTTCCGTTCCGTCAAATTTTTGCCACTCAATATGTCTCACTTTTACCAAAGGTCACATCAAATTTTTTATGACCTCATTGGTAATATATATAATTCTTCTCTACTTATACCCTTTGTGGGCTGCTTGATCTATGGAAAGATTCAATATGGATCGAAGTGTGAATGGCTTCCTCAATTTCACGGTGGGAAATATGATACAAAAGGGCGACGTGCAGATATTATGTCCATGTAAGAAGTGCAAAAATGGAGTTTTCCACAACCCATTCGAAGGCAGCGTGATGGTGCACTTGCCCCGTCATGATTTTATTCTAGGTTATACACGGTGGACAAAGCATGGTGAGGAGGATGAGGATGGTGTTAGCAATGATGAAGAAGCGGCGAGTCATGTACAAGCGGAAGACCCATTTGATGGAGGAGAGGCATCGGAAGGAGGAAGCAATAAACAGATGCAGGGAGTAGAAAATGATGAAAATGACACCTGAACATGAAGAGGATCATCAGGCTGGAAATGATCATGCTTTCACACAGGAGATGTCATTGGTTGCAATGCTGCAGGACCCTCATGTCAAAGATCTACTCCGGAAGAAGATGACAAACGAGGGAGTTGCTATTAAAGGGGCTCTCAAGTTGGGGCAACTAGAAATATACGCCAAAACACCATTGTATGAAGGTTGCGACCCCAAGCCCGCCTGCCTGCACGTCATGCTCAAACCTCTAGACATCAAGGCAAAATTCAAGAGAACGGACGCAAGCCTGGATGCTGCATTGGAATATTTACACAAAGTTTTTTCCAAGGGGAATTTGTTGCCTCGTAGTGTCGATGAGGCGAAGAAGATCGTGTGCCCTCTTGATTTGTTGCATGTAAGATATCACACATGCATAAATGATGGCATCATATATCGAAATGAGTATGAGCACAAAACAAAGTGTCCAAATTGCAAGGAACCCTAATTGAAGCCTGGAAAGAAGGATCCTCAAAAGGTTGTATTTGTACTTTCCGCTGATTCCTCGCCTGTGATGGCCCACAATTATAGGGGATCAATAGTAGCCCTTTCGTTAAGTAAGAGTGTCAAACCCAACAAGGAGCAGAAGGAATCAATAGCGGTTTTCAGTAAGATATTCTCTGCAAGTGTTGTAAGACGGTTGTGTGATAGATAGTTTGATAGTGGTATAATTCATAACAAGTAACCAAAGGATAAGACGAGGAAGCAAAGTGGCTCGATCCTTTTTATTGCAAAGGATAAGATGGAAGTACATTTCATAGTGATTAAAATGTTCTCGAGGACACAAGGGAATTTCGTCTAGTTACTTTCACCATGATTCATAGACTCGCGTTCACTGCTTTGATAAGTTAATATGTGGGTAGACCGGAGCTAAGGTGTTGTTCTTACTGGAACAAACAACCTACTTATGATTACCCCCTATCGCAAGCATCTGCAACTACAAGAGAAGAATTAATATAAATCTAATCATAACATTAAACATGTGGATCCAAAACAGCCCCTTACGGGACAGCTCATAAACTGGGGTTTAGATTTCTATCACTCCCGCAAACCATCATCTACAAACTAATTCCACAATGCCTTCCCCTAGGACCAAACATGATAATGTGTCATGTAGTCAACATTCACGCGACACCACTAGAGGAAGAACAACACAACACATCATCAATACATTGAACAAAATCAACTTCACATGATTACTTATAACAAGACTTCTCCCATGTCGTCAAGAACAAAAGGAACTACTCACAAATCATATTAATGTCATGATCAGGGGAAATAAATTTGTAATTAACAATTTGAACATATAATCTTCCACCAAGTAAACCAACTAGCATCAACTACAAGATGTAATCAACACTATTAGCAACCCACATGTACCAATATGAGGTTCGAGACAAAGATTGGGTACAAGATATGAACTAGGGGTTGGAGATGAGATGGTGCTGGTGAAGATGTTGATGGAGATGAGTCCTACCACAATGAGAGGAGTGTTGGTGATGGCAATGGCTTTGATTCCCCCCTCCTAAAGGGAAGTATCACCAGCGGAATCGCTCCGCTAGAGAGCAAAAGTGCTCCTGCCCAGGTTATGCCTTGAGATGGCGGAGCTTCGCCCCGAAAGTCTTCTCCTGATATTTTCAGGGTAAATGGTTTCATATAGCGGAAGATGGGCATCAGTGTACGGGCCCCACAAGCTCACATGGCACGCCCCGGGGGGAGGGTGCGTCACTTTAGCTTGCTGCCCCATGGAGGGTCCTATCTGGTATCTCTTTCTTTCAGTATTTTTTATATATTCCAAAATAAATCTTCGTAAATTTTCAGGTCATTTGGAGCTCCGGAGAATAGCTATTTCTATTGTAGCTCTTTTAGGTCCAGAATTTTAGTTGCTGGCAATCTCGGTTTTGTGATGTAACTTGCAATTTTAAGAGAGAAAGGACATTAAAATTGCATCAAAAGTGAAATATAACTTTAAAACAATAAAAATAATAGTAGGAAAACATGATGCATAATACTCCCCAAGTTTAGACTCCGCTTTTCCTAAAGCGAATACTGAGCTCGATAATCATGTCCACAGGTTTACAGTGAGAGAGGTGTCTATAAAAGAAAATATGGACACAATAGCATCATGATCATTATTATAACATCAATTAACAATCATAAAACTTCTCATGATTAAGTAGCAATTCATTCACAAGCTAAAGGGTGTAAGCAATAAACTTTGTTGGAAACTAATAAACTATGTTCTCAGTCATCAATGCAATTGCAATTCATCATATTTTCAGGAAGGGTTTATGTAAGAGCTTTTGATTTAGTAAACTTCACATACTCAACCATCATATAGTCTTCCATGATTGTTAGCACTCAAAGCGTATTTTTAGAACAAACAATTTCAATCAAACACAAATGAAGATGGGGGCTTAATATTTCACCTCCGAACTTACTTATCTCGGGGATACTGTCAACAATAATAACTCATGATTACACATATATAACTAGATATATATGTCTGGATCATTCCTACCACATGATGCTTGCTGAGTGGAGAATAATTGAGATTGGAATAGGAGCAAATATTTTTTACTCTTGTATGAAAGTAAAAATTAAACACTGAGAGATAGGCCCTTCGCATTGGGAAGCAGATGTGCACTTTTGATTGTTGGGTGTGCAAACTCCTAATGCAAAAGGAATGTCACTTTATATTGGCCCCTATGATAGGAACCTTTATCGAGCAATCCGTCGCTTTTATTGCGTTACCATAATAAGATCGTACAAAGCTTCTTTTTCCTTCTAATAAAAGATAATACATATTTAGGAGCAATTTTTATTGCCTACACCGATGACAACTTACTTGAAGGATTTTATTTAAATCAATAAAATTACTATAAAAATATCTAAAAATGATATGATAATAACATGAAACAATAAAAAATAATATAAATATGTTTGAGACGTATCAACATCCCCAAGCTTAACCTTTGCTCGTCCTAGAGTAGATAGATGATAAAACAAATATATTTTTTTACGTCGAATTTACCTAACATAATCTTGACGAAATGATGTAAAATATTGTGAACTCAAGATAAAAGTGATTCAAGGCAACTGTTTATAATTGATGATAAGCAAGTAACATTAAAACATGCAAGTAAAATCACCTCTCGCTTTTCATGGATCAATGCTTTCTTGTCATGACCACCAACACTAGAAGGTTTAGAAAGGTGCCAAGTGTATCATGGCCTGAGATGCTCATGGTTTTATCAAATCAAAATATTTTATCATAACACGACCAGAGTTTTGGTCAAGTAACCAATCACATGAATCTCCCTTTTGAACTACTTAGCACTTCATGCGGTGCCCAAAACACAAACTTTGATCTTCACACTAATAAATTGAAAAAAGAGAATGATGATGGAGGTTTAATTGAGAAGTCAAACGAAAAAAATAAAGTCTCACACCAATTAAAAAGTGACCATTAGGCAATGGAGAGACATTATAGTCGATATCAATGAAAGGAATAGGGATTGACATGCAACAAATGCACTAGAGCTATGCGTGTATGAAAGCTCTCTAAGTGAACTAGTGAGTGTGCACCCAACTTGGTTGCTCACAAAGACCTAGAGCATTTGAGAAAGCTTATCATTGGAATATACAAGCTAAATTCTATAATATAAAAATTCTACTAGTATAATCATGAAGCACATGAAAACTCTATATAAAATGCATAGCACAATCTTGTATAGACATTACGTCCATGATGTGTAGACCGTTAATCCAACTACATCTAAAATTAATACTCCACCCAAAGATCGCTATCCAACACGCTCTTGAGGTATTATAAGTTCATAACAAACAAAGCATTACAATAAGCATGATAACATAATGTAGATGGTAACTGTCAACCAAGTGTGACATGTCTGTTCCCGACCGAGGATGTGAGAGGAAAGCTCGGTTCTATACAGAGTTCCTACACAATGAGTTTCTTTGCATGGACGCAGGAGCTCGAATGGGAACTTGCGTCTTGAGTCGGGGACTAGAAGATCAAAAGCGCCACATCGCTTCTCTTGTGTGTCAGCAACAGAATCCCTTCAACATACTTACTCTGGTCATCCATGATTATTCGTTGATGGGAATACATACACTGTAAATTGTTGAAGCACAATCACCCAGGATTTAGCTGTAGGTGTACTCAAATACTTATCAAAATAACAATTAAGTTGCAAACATTTTACACTCGAGTAATCAAGAGGTACTTGTGTCCAGACCTGGAGCTCCATCTTCACATCGATCAAAATGAAAAAAGGTCGCCCGTCTCCCAACCGGCGCGGCTGCATTGTTAGCCGCCGGTGCGACTCACCACTGTCTATGTCTCTTGGCATGCAACCCTTCCTCCAGAGAGGAACCAAGCAAACCTAGGACCATTGTTGTCTAGTAAATTAGGATGAACAATCTGAGGAAGAAACACCCGGGATCAAACACAAAATCACTGAAATTTACCAATGAAATTATCTCTCCCCTGGGGTTGGCCGCCCCAGTCATCGTGGATATCCATGGCAAAAAATGCGTTCTCTTGTCCAATCACAACCCTGTCAGACAAAGTCACAAAGATACTCATCTCTAGTTTGCTATGATAGGCAATTGGAATACGTTTTTTTTTGGAAAAGAATGTTAAAATCTGCGGCATGATACATGAATGTAGCTCTTAGTCAGTCTGGAAATGAAACAAAAACAAGGATAGGTACCTTGGTGAACCCATCAAACATCCGAGAGTGATAACAGGTCCACCGCCACCTAAGCTAATGGTTCTCTTTAGCCTGACGGGTATAGAGCAATCGGTTACAAATAAAAAGAATACGTATATGCACCTACATGTTATGATTTAGTAACACAACCCATGACATCATTAGTTGATTGCTTATGTGAAGCAACATGGGGTGGGGTTCTAGGTTGGAAGAGCATTCACAATGTCGTGATACTCGTAATTACCTGAAATCAGTGGAGTTCCACAGATGAATGATGCCATGTTCTGTTCCTGTAATTATAACTGGAAGGTTTGGATGGGCAAGGACACAATGAACTGGCGACATAGCTTCCAGCGTACAAATGCACTCCCTTTTCTGCAAGTCCCAGATCTGATTTGAAAAAAAACAGTGTATGGACTTCAGCATTATTTATTTTCCGAAAAGGAGTATCGTCCTGGCCTCTGCTACTAGCATTAAGCGATGCACATACTGTATTAATTAGCTAATGTAGTATTTGATGACAATGGCAGATCTACCTTGACAGTGGCGTCATAAGATCCACTGATCAAATACTGTTGATCTCCACATGTAACAAAATCAAGGCATGTCACCTTCTTCAAATGTCCAAGCAAAGAATATTCCGGGTCGGAGGAATCGAACCTCCAAACCTGAACAAGCATATACAAGGACTCAATCTAGTAGACAACTTACCTTCATAACGCAAAAGTTTAGTTAGCAAAAGGAAAAAATACCTGTACTTCGCCATCATAAGACCCACTCGCAAAACTGTTGGTGTCCCTTGTGTTGAACGCAACTGCCTCTGCTGTGACAGCCTCAGACTCAAATATTCGTGTGGTCTTCCAGCTCAGGTCCCAGTTTAAAAGCATTAAACCTGATGCCAACACATATGGTAGGATCGGATGAACAGCTAGTAGTGTACTGGTCCCGTAATCACCACGTTCAAAACTGATCTTTTCGATTTTTGTTACACATGAACAGTCATACACATGGAGGTGAGCACGATCTGTCATAGCTACAATCAGTTGCCTTCTTGCAATAAATTTGACGCAGCTTACTGAAATTACAGTGGTCAATTTAATTAGTACTCGATGGCAGTGTATATTTATATGAGTATATGAGGATGCAAGTTGTGCTTAACTATTAATCCTAGTTATGAGTCAGAAAGAATACCTGCATCCTGATCTGAGACTTTAAACGAATTAATCAGGAACTGCATGCCGTAGAAAATGGCTTTGTTAGTTCAACAGAAAAGGCCAATGCGTAATTCTTCACTTCTCAACATATATACATTGAGCAGCAGTATATATAGACGAAATATTAACATAATTATAAATATGTAGAGATTGCATTAGCTTGCCTTCATCTCATTGTTCCATATGCGAGCATATCCACTATTATGACCTGTTAAAATCCTTCGTGACAACATAAATTTTAGTGTAGGGTATAATAACATCCAACACATTCACTTGAACAAAAGAATGAAAATATATGCACCCACCAAGGTTCTGTTGGATGTGCATCCAGGGACCACAAAGAGTCAGGATTGTACTTCACAGATATATTCTGATCCAACAAAACACCAGTCAAACTCAGAAACAATAGCTGAAATTAAGTTGACCAAGGTGGCTGGTGCATTGTTGTTCTAATCGCCAGCAGGCAAGCAAATTTATTGAAGTCAAGAGATGGAGAAACAGAAGTGCTGATCGAGTTAGTGTACATTATATGTATAGCTATTCTGTAGAATAACTATTCAACAATCTTTATACACTGGGCAGCGTGGCCGTTCTATTGTACATAGTCGGCAACTATGTGAACCACTCATGTTGTACTATGTCAAATGCTTACCTCTCCAACTCTTTTCTGTTAGATAGTGGATTTTCTACACCCTCCATGAACAGTAAATTCAGAAAAAAAAATCTAAATTGTTGGACGTCAAACGTGATCAAGAGTTTTAGCTTCTTGCAAATTTTCGTCCACAAATAACATTCTAGGAGCCATCACCAAAAATAACAAAATCAGTGTTCAAAACCAACGCACCTCAGATGTGATCTCTCCGTACTGCACATAAACAGCTTTCAGTGTCACTTCATGCACCATATTCCCAAACTGTTTGGCTTCTTTGAAAAATGTATCAGACTCAGATTGGTCATTGAATACCTCGATGTACTTATCTCCCAATAAACTGCTCTGAATAACGAGATCAAAGTCTGTCTCTTCCTTTAGCTTCATCTCCTCCTTCATTGTCACAGTCAAAGTGTAAGTGGATCCGTGAGGTACAATGCCGCACAACGGCAACTTTGCGAAGCACCATGGGGACTTGCCACTCTTGTCTACAAGTCTAAATGCCACATTTTCATCTGTGTTGTTTGTTAGGTGCAGTGAGCAAGGGATAGGCTCATTGGGACAATAGGGGAAGCGGAGTTCCAGCGGGTGGACATCAAGTAGCTTGCTGATGGACCCTGCCTTTTCCTGCTAAATAGATGAAACATTGGATAGGTAAGGTTTCACACACTGGCGTGAACAAATTAAAAGATGATTATTACATCAACATGGATTTTACATTTAATATGAGATATCGATCTGCATTCTTGAAACTTGAAAGGACTAACTACAACTGAACTACCCCTCAAAGAAAAAAAAACTACAACTGAACTAGAAAAGTCAACCTGGTATGTGAGCTCTCAACTTCCCATATTTTAAACACCATACAAAAGACGACAACATTAAGTTAATGGAAATTCAGTTTTGTACCAGACCTTACATGCTCCACGGTCAAAAGTAAAATTAAAAAAGTTAACACATTTTTAAAAAGTCTTGACTTCCTTTTAGCACTTACAGTCTTCTGCCCAGCACACAACACATGTCTTTTCCCTACAAAAATTTGCACGCATGTTCAAGACATGAACATGTTGTTAAAACAATCACACTTCGTAAACTTTTTTACTATTTTTTAGTTCAATGTTTCATGCTCCCGAGTACAAGAATGCTGCCCTCGTTTGACACACTTCCATCTAAACAAAATTAATGAGGTCACCTTAGACATGTCTCCGGCATGGTGTGTCGTGCATGCACTTAATTGCTGCTCACTTTTATCAGTTGGTTGCTCCTGATAATTCACATCATCGATATCCATAATTGCCACTGCATTTTCTTTTCCAATCACAAGCCTACATATACCCATATAACATTACAAGTCTGGCATGACAAAATACGAAGCATGGCTGTACAGCTAAGAATATATGCTGTTAGCAATAAAACAAAAGCATGAAAATATACCCTCCCATCACACATGCGATATGGTAGACAGCTCCAACACAACCAATCTTGATGACTCTATTAAGAGTCGGGGGGCATGAATAATTCCTATGCATGGGAATTTCGTTTGTCAGCAAGTAGAGTGGAAATCCATGTATGATTGAGTACATTCAGTGGAATATTGTATTACCCGCAGTTTGTGGTGCTCCACAAATAAATAGCGCCATCTTTTGAACCTGTAATTAGAATCTGAAGATCGGGTTGGTACAAGAGAGACATTACTGGAGATACGAAAGCCTCAAGTGTATGTATACACATCATCTTCCGCAGATCCCATATCTGATTTCAACAAAACAAAGGATGTATTATGATCACTCTCTATATGTACACGTCCTACATTAGTTTGTTATTCCATGTGAATAGCAGACCTTTGCAGTCTGATCATGTGAGCCAGTAACCAAATACTCCTGATCATCACATGTGAAGAAATCCAGGCAATTCACTATGCTCGAATGCCCTACTAGAGTGTATATAAATTCGGGAGAATCAAGACTCCAAACCTATATAGGGGA